GTCCCTGTGGTGGTGGCTGTTGGGTTGATGCAGGGGAATGTGTTTTGGTAGGCAGAGCTTCCCTAGGGAGGAGGAGGGGTTGGATGGAGTGAGGAGGTTGCTGAGCTGCTTTGTTTCCTTGCCTGTCCTTCAGAACGTGTACAAGTCCGACCTTCTGTGGCTGAGGGGCATTGGCTGGTCCCCCAGTGGTTCGCTGGACGACGAGAAGAACAAGAGGGCGAGCCTCATCCTGAGTGACAAGAAGTATCGGCAACACCCGGACACCATCAAATTCACGAGCATTCCTGACTCGATGCCTATGGTTCTGGCAAAGCACAACTCTGAAATTATGAACCAAGTGAGATTTCCTTGTGTTTGCAGCATGAAGGAAACGAGCGCCTTCCTTTCCCAGGACGTTGGGCGCTCTGCTTCCAGGGCCTGGGTTTTGCAAGTGGGGTGTTGCATCCCCCTCTTGCATGAGGGATTTGTGTTCCTTGTTTTAGATGAAATTCTGTTTTGTGTGGTTGGAGCAGTAATTGGTCGCAGTGCAGACAAGAAAAGGGTGGAGCGTTAGAAAGTTTTGGGAGAAGAAAAGGCATTCCTGAGCCCGTGCAAAGTAGAGGCCCCTTGCTTCAGTTCCTTGAGCTAGGTTGCTCTTTGGGTTTGTCGCCCTGTGCTTGCGTGATCTTATTTTGCGTTGTACTTGTTTTTTCAGCGCGCCTACACGTCAGCCTGGGAGAAAGATAAAACCAGCGTTCACATTATGCCGGATACACCTGGTATTTTGCTAGCCCAGCAGAACAAAGTGAACTTCAGTGAGGTAGGTGTTTGAGCTGGGGTTAGGTGTCTGTCCTGGACACTGCTGTGGCCCGAGAAGCAGCGTTGCTTGAGGGGAATGCTTGTTTTTCTTTCAGAAACTGTACAAGCTTGCGATGGAGGAAGAGAAGAAAAAGGGCTACGACATGCGAGCAGATGCCATTCCTATCAAGTCTGCTAAAGCTTCCAGAGACATTGCGAGTGATGTAAGTACACAGGAGGCCTTGGCAGCACACCCTACCGGACAGTTTCCAGGTGCTTTCTTTCAGGGGAAGCCCAGGGTTTGCAACCTCAGCCGAATGGAGGCACTACAGATCTTACCTGTCGTTACCATTCAGCTAGTCTGCAGATGTTTTGGTTTTGTGGAGTCTGCCTGTAGGTGTCCCTGCATGTTATGGGTGTGCAGCGTTGCGAAGGTCTGCGTAGATGGTGTGGAGAGAGTAACTGTGGGAGCTGAGTGACAGACATAATCCAAAGCAGCGTCCCTCCTGGGCTTGTGGCAGCATCTCCTTGTGCAACGGAGTAGACTTTTGAGGTGGCGTGCTGCCCTCGGTTCTGCCAGTCTGCAGTCCCCTGGTTTTGCAGCTACACAGCTGAGCTGGACCTTAGGAAGGAAAACCCAAAGCAGGTTTTGTGTAAAAATAAAGGCAGTATAAAAGTAAATCATTTTTTATTATTATTAGGCTTTAATATAAAAATGTTTTACATATATGTATTTAGTGTTTCTATTTACAGTTCCAGGTCTGTCTCTATGTTCCTACAATTTTGATCTCCTGAATTGATTGAATAGGAGTCTATTTGGCTATCATGCTTGAAGGTCACTAACTGATTCTTTTTGTAGAGGATGTTTATTGAACTTTGGACCTTTTGTATAGCTGCTGTATTTTGGCGACTTTTTCTACTTTCAGGTACTGAGTAGCAGCTCTTAATGTGTAGGCCAGGGAGTGTCTTCAAAAATGTGAAAGTCATATCATGCAGAGAATGTTATATGAATCCTTCTGTAGCTGTATGCTGCGGTTCATCAGCTGAATATTTTCTTATTCTAATGTCTCTGTGGTTTCAGATGCTAAGTTCTCTGGAGGTTGTGCCGCAGGGGCTGCTACAGACGTAAAGAGAACTAAACTGAAACTCATTGAACATTTTTTTGCCTATAGTACAAGTATAAAGAAGGCTATCGCAAGCAGCTTGGTCACCATATTGGAGCCCGAAATATAGAGGATGATCCGAAGATGATGTGGTCGATGCACGTAGCCAAGATCCAGAGTGACAGGGAGTACAAGAAAGCCTTTGAGAAGACAAAGACACACTTCAGTAGCCCAGTGGACATGCTGGGGATTGTGCTGGCCAAGAAATGTCAGGAGCTGGTCAGCGATATTGATTACCGCCACTATCTGCATCATTGGACCTGTCTGCCAGACCAGAATGATGTTATCCATGCTAAGCAAGCCTATGATCTACAGAGTGATGTGAGTACTTGCTGATAAGCTTTGGATTTCTAACATGTATGTAATTTTCTTGGAATATAAACTACAGAAGCTTCTTAGACTGTATCTCTCATATAGTGTTTTTTCACGTTGTTTTTTTTACCTATTCTAAGCAAGTTCATAAGAGTTTTAGGAGCGAATGAATCTGTATGTAAGTAAGGTTGAATATTATGAAGGTTGTTTATATACAGCTAATCAGTTAGCCAAACAGTAGAATTAGCTGCATATAATCCTTCATAATAGACAATCTTAATACCTTCATATTTGGAGTAACTGTGTATGAAGAGGAAATTGCCTAGTATGACTTTTTTTTTTAGTTACCTGACTTTAGTGGAGAGAATTCCTTTGTCCTGTCTTGGAGAAAATGGTTTAAATTAAGACCTGCTATTCTTAGTGGGTGATCATTTATTTGTTGTAAACAAATGTTACAGGAAAAGTTTATACTGACTTTCAGGATTTTGTTTTAATCCCATTACTCTTTGACCATTCCCCACCATGTTGTCAGGTGAGCGATATCTCTTGAAGACAGATACAGGGTTTCAGTGTGGGTTGCTAACAGAGATTGCTTTGCAGATTGAACTAGGAGGAAGGCAACTTACTGAAAGTAACCTTTAGTTGCATGGTATATATGAAATGTTTAACTGGCAGTATTAATGAAAGAACTGTCTTTGTATTTTGTAATAGAACTGCTACAAGTCTGACCTTGAATGGTTGCGAGGCATTGGTTGGGTCCCACTTGGTTCCTTGGAGGTTGAAAAAGCCAAGAAGGCAGGGGAGATCCTGAGTGATAGAATATACCGTCAGCCTCCGGACACAATCAAGTTTACTAGCATCACTGATTCTCTAGAGATGGTTTTAGCTAAGCAGAATGCAGAGACAATGAATAAGGTGAGTATTGATTCGATTAGGTAACATGTCAGCAGTCTTGGCCTTAACCCTGGAGACAGGACTAGAAATAGACATGTGTGGTTGCTGTATGAGATTTCAGCACAGTGAGGCTGTAAGAGTGTAAGTTACATTCTTGGTAATCAACAGTAACTTATTTTCAGCAAGTGCTATTTTAATAGTATCTTCCAAGTTACCCAGTTAAATTGGAATTATCAATTGTGAAGCTTTCCACATACTCTACAGTGTGTCTACTAATGTGTTACCTAACTTTCATCTAATTCTTAATATAGCAATTTGTCTAATCTAATAATTTATCAAGCTTATCCAGTAATTAGTAATTAATAAATTACTTGTTTTAGGGCAGTCTTTGAAACATCTGTATTTTAAACAATTCAGTGTAGTACTTAAAATGTAAGAGTTCGTCTGATTATGTGGCCCTGATCTCAATCCTATTTATGTCAATAAAACGACTTCATCTTTCAAACACACCTTGTTTTTAGAGTTTAGATTTCTGTGTGTCTGATTAGCATTCTGTGCCTTTTTTCTAAATGTTGTTTTTTTTTTTTTAACACAATTCTTTCTAGGTTACCAGTTCTTAATGTGAACATTAAGTATCTAGAGGAGTGAATATAAAATCTCATTGCTATATAAGGAATAAGGATTTTAGACTTGGAGTACAGATCTGTAATTCTTCTTGCATTTTAGGAGATCTCCAAGTAGCCCCTGGTTTTTTCCCCCCTTTAACATATGTTATTTCTTTTTCAGCGTTTATATACTGAGGCCTGGGATAAAGACAAGACACAAATCCACATAATGCCTGACACACCTGAAATCACACTGGCAAAACAGAACATGCAAAACTACAGTGTGGTGAGTGTGTTAGCTCTCCAAATGTAACTGGTCTGTTTCATGGCTGGATCATCAGTATTCTGACAAACCCTATATAGATGATACCATCAGTTTAAGTAACCCCCAATATTCATTCTCAAAATTGTGACTTTAAAAACTTCATTTGCGTATTTGTACAGTAGTGCATACACATAAAACAGTGAATGCTATTCAGAATAAACTCCATGAGAAGTTGTGTGTCTCCAGTGAATTTTTGGGAGTCATTTCTGCCAATGTGCATACTATTGGGAAGGCAGAAAATTAATTCCAACATTGGAAGTACCAAACAGGTAATTTCCAGCACAATTCTGAAGAGCAGTGATCCCAGTGTTCAATGTTAGTTTAGGCAGATAAATTGACATGACTAAAAGGTGGCTTTAAAAAGTATGTTTTACTCTACTTGTATAGAAGAATAGTTTATCTCCAAATTTGTAGTCAATGTTACGTTATTTAAAGTATTGAAAGAAAAAAATTGTTAGCTAATGTATTTAGCAAAGATCTTCCTTTGATACGAATTTCTATCGGCTCCTCATCTGGGGCATTGAGTTAAAGTTAAAGCTGGGTTAGAATAAATCTCAACACAATTTTTTAAATCTACTCTACTTACAAGCCATTTGTTTTGCATAGTATATAATACATGGAGCTTACTTACATGAATCCCATTGTTAATTCTTCACCTAGAAACTCTACAAACAGGCCATGGAAGAAGCAAAAAAGAAAGGCTATGATTTGAGAAGTGATGCTATCCCCATTCAAGCTGCCAAAGCATCCAGGCAAATTGCCAGCGATGTAAGAAACTACTTTTTTTCTTTGTGTGGTGACATCTGATCTCTGCAACCTGAAAGTTATCAGCTGGATTCTGTAAAAGGCATTTCAATTAAACTGTGATCTGAAATAATAGATTTTTGGAAGCAAATTATTAGATGTGTTTAAAGAGTTAATTGTAAAAATTAAATGTTGAGAAGTTATAAGGACAATATAATGCTGTTATCATGTTAATTTTATAGCTCATAAACCTGTATCTTTAATTAAATCTTAACAGTATGTATATTAATATAATTAATAAGGATTAAGTATGTTTAAATAAGAGGAGGATTATTTCTCACTAATACTAGTGAAGAGTGTTTTTTCAGAAGAACTTTAAAATCTCTGTTTAGGGTTCTAACTGAAATCTCAAATATTTAACGTGAGAATCCATGTTATTAGCCCCAGAATTGCTTTGACAGTTTGGGGTTTTTTGACTGTAGGTTAAAGGGAAATTTTGAGAGTTTATTATTAGAAATATTTAATACGAGTACCTGATATTTAGAGGTAATATGGAAATATGATATCTTGATTTATATTTCAGTACAAATACAAAGAAGGCTATCGCAAGCAGCTTGGGCACCACATAGGGGCCCGTAACATAGAGGATGATCCAAAGATGATGTGGTCGATGCACGTAGCCAAGATCCAGAGTGACAGGGAGTATAAGAAAGCTTTTGAGAAGACAAAGACACACTTCAGTAGCCCAGTGGACATGCTGGGAATCGTGTTGGCCAAGAAATGTCAGGAGCTGGTCAGCGATATTGATTACCGCCACTATCTGCATCAGTGGATCTGTCTGCCAGACCAGAATGATGTTATCCATGCTAAGAAAGCCTATGATCTACAGAGTGATGTAAGCTCTTTTGATTTAATTTTTGGTGAGGAATGTATTTGATATTTTACATAGGTGGACCAGGCCATAACATACCAATGCGGTAGAATTAAATTTGCAAGAGTTATTTTTAAGTTTCATGGCTAATTGAAACTCAGATCTCCAAGAGGATAGGTTAACTAATTGATATTTAAATTAAATTCTGAAATTCCAGAATTTGGTTTATTTATCATTTGCCATTCTGTGAAACTTGAATAATGTTTTCACTCTTAATGTAGATAAAATGCAGTTATTTTTTCTAAGATTTTCTCTAGGGCTTTGAATTTATTTGAATTAAAAGTTGATAGTGAGATTACTTAACTGTGAAAAGATGCACTGTGAAAATTGCATTATTATTATTAGAGTAACTTGTGCATTTTTTTTGGTAATAGAACTGCTACAAGTCTGACCTTGAATGGTTGCGAGGCATTGGTTGGGTCCCGCTTGGTTCCTTGGAGGTTGAAAAAGCCAAGAAGGCAGGGGAGATCCTGAGTGATAAAATATACCGTCAGCCTCCGGACACAATCAAGTTTACTAGCATCACTGATTCTCTAGAGATGGTTTTAGCTAAGCAGAATGCAGAGACAATGAATAAGGCGAGTATTGATTCAATTAGGTAACATGTCAGCAGTCTTGGCCTTAACCCTGGAGACAGGACTAGAAATATAATGATCACAAGTAACGCTGAAGTTCAGAGATGATGTATTTTCAAGTAGTGTGCTCTTTTTATTTCAATGAAAACTATTAGGCCATGTAATGGAAGACTCAACTTTCTCATGATATTCTACACAGTACTTTTTAATCTTTTCTTTGACATGTCTGTGCAGTGAGCACTAATAATGCTTTGGTTTATTCATTATTCTTAAGTAACATGGCAGTTTTCTATGTGTTGTTAAAATTCCTCGGATAAATTATCTTTTCTATAATGATATCTCTACTTGATTAAATACATAACCGTTTATCCATGCTATACTTCCTCTAATTTTACCTAGTATGCTCTGTTTTACTTGATTAGTGAGATATTACCTTGTTTTGGAATGCAATATTAATCTCTTCCTGTATTCTTTCTTAGCGTTTATACACTGAAGCATGGAATAAAGATAAGACCATGGTTCATGTCATGCCTGACACACCAGAAATCCTGCTAGCTAAACAAAACCAATTAAATTACAGTCAGGTGAGTAAAACTGAAGAGTTGAGAGAATTAAAAGATTTCTGACAAGTACAATTTTGTCATCTCTGACTTTTAATTAATATTAT